AAAAAAAAATGAAATACAAGTTACTGTTCGGTTCCATGCATAACAGTAGAACTGATTCTAAAATACAAATTCTTTTACCACATACAGATATCACAAAGCCATTAAAAATGACAATACCCCATATAAGCTATTATATATGGCAAAAGTATCTTCACGTGTAATCTTTACTGGAATAGTTAGGCGGCTAGATGCAATCACGCGAGCATTTAAAGATAAAAACTGGAATCAAATACTTTTCGAGAGATGAACTGCATAAATTTTCAGAGTTTAGAAGTACGTTAGATATGTGATAGTCGGAGAAAACCGATTGAAGTGATAGTATTTTGCTCTTCGCAAGTCCTTTTCCATGTATCCCGTCTCACGTTCTTGGATGATGTCTATTTCAATCCAAAAAGTGACCCATATGTTGTTGTCCCACAATTTCTTGGACTGTTCTATGTATCTAGCCACAAGCTAAATGCGCTCAGGACAAAACTAGAGGATACTTTGGTCCATGCATTAAATCAAAACTTCCTTTTCATCAACATGCAGCAGAAGAGTGTAAAACTCAGTCACAAGAGAATTATTTCCCACCACAAATAACTAATCGTCAGCTTTATCATCTTACCTTCTGTATCTTCTAACTACCCTACCAGCAGAAAATCTATCAAACATAAAGATACTAAGCCATCAAGCCCAGCAAATCACATATTTTCTCATAAATTTTGCAGCAGAAATTCAAATAGTGTTAGGCACTTCATCCCATGAAGGGTAGTTCTAAGAAACTAAGCAAGATCATACAGAGATGGAGGAGAGGGAAAAATGGTCAGTTTGTTGTCTACTCAAAAGATAACAAAAGGTTTGTTGTTCCTCTGTGTTATCTGAACCATCCTATATTCAGAGTGCTGTTGGAGATGGCTGAAGAGGAGTATGGATTGCCGATTCAAGGGCCTCTAAGAGTTCCTTGTGAGAAAGAATTAGTGGAGTACCTTCTTGGTGTGTTTGGTAAGGCAGATTCAATAACATTAGAGAGTTTCAAAGAAGAAAATAAAGCTAAACTCTTGTCCACTGTACTGTTTAGTTATGTCTAATACTATATACCAAATATGCTCTTTATTCTATGTTTAGCGATGAAAGAATCCTATCGAGAACGTAGGAACGTATTTTATCTAATGCAAAGTGCCTAGAGGTTTCTATCTCATACTTCATCCCAGCATTTCAGGCACAAAGTAAAGGTCATATCAGAAACCCAGTTTTGTCGAGGGTTGAG